AAAAGGCAATAGTAAGAGGGCAATGCTTAGCACTGTGGTGCAAGCACACAAGCAAAAGGACTGAATTTCAGGAAAGACATTCCCATGCCCTCTTCAATTTCTACATGATGGGAGCTCAGCAACGATAATCAAGAAGACGGGTAACTGAAACCCAGACGTTAACACCAGAGTCATTAGAGGTGACCTTGCAAACCTGGCCTTTTGTCGTAAAATAGCTTCCAGAACTTTCCAAACGACAGTGGCCCTAGGGAAAGAGACCCAGTTTTTGTTCCATGGGATCCACCTTGCGTTTCCTGTTCCTTCCGTCTTCACCTCCACCCTCACCCTGCCCAGCCCCACCTGCCACGTGTACCTGTTGCCCACCACCCGGGCCCGCCACACTCACATGGACAGCACCTTCACCTCCAGTATCTCGTGCCTCAGCTCCAGGCATCTTGTGGAGTTATATTCAAAAGGCCCCTCATAAAATTCAAAGTACCTGAGAAGCAACAAAGACAGGATTACACAAAGAAGCAAGCCTAGTTTTCGAGGGTCTGTCAAGGGTCTTATTGGGGTCTGTTCCAGTCAAACAAAGCAAACCAGCTCTACCCCAGCAGAGTTCAGGGGAGAGGGGCTCCAGGCACGTCATCAATGACTCAGATCTCACTGCTGCCCTGGTCTGCACATGGTTAAGCAGCAAGAACCCGGTTCAGCAGCTAAAATGCAGAGGAATTTGGTTCCAAGTTTGTGTACTGAAGAAAGAGGTTAGGAACTGTGTGCTGTGATCAGACATCACTGGAGATCAGAAGCATTCAGATAGGCAGCAGGCCTCAAGCTACCCTGCCCCTTCCTGCCCTTTCTTCCTTTCTGTTCTTGGGGTAATGTTCTGAACACAGCCACGGGTAGTGCAGAAATTTCCACTGCTTCTTCTACTTTGCAACACACGTCCATTTCTGTCAGCTCACTTGATGTCTATACTCATGCTAGGATGTTGGAGACTGATGTTTCTCTCCCTACTTAGCAGCTGAGAAAACTGAGGTTCTGTAGACAGAGCCCCAAATCATACTGTCAGTGTAGGACGGACAGGGCTTAGTCTCTGTCCAAGTCCCTTCCAGTGCCACGTGGCTCTAGAGCACATCACAGCTAGCACAGGACACCAATGCCAGCTTCATGCAGAATAACAATAGCAGTTACAGCTACAGCCAACATTTACTGAGCCTTTCTCATAGGTCACAAACTGGGACCAGCACTCATCTTTCTAACTGGCTGTGACCACCAGCCACGGGTAGTGCATTTTTCTAACTGGCTTGTGACCACCACAAACATCCCAGGTCCTGGGAGTGATCTGACCTTCCCAGAGGCACATAGCTGGCAGATGGCAGAGCTGGTACATGAATCTGCACATTAACTCAAGGCTGCCCTTACCCCTACTGGTCTACACAGATAGCTGGCATCTCCTGGAGAGGGGCCTAGGGCCTTCCACTCCATGAGTGAAGAGCTGTCTCCTAAGACAGAGGCCAGGTAACGCTCTCCACAATCTCCCTCTTTTTTGGGATGGTTCCACAGTTGGGGCAGATGTTGCTGGGAGAACTAGACCCCAGACTCAACCAGGAATTGAGAAGCCTGTAGGGCTATGCCACTCTAAGCAGGGCTTAGTGGCATTTTGATGGGTAACCTTTATGAGCCAGGAGTGAGAGAGACTTATTCTAAAGGGCTGACGCAGAGCCAGGACTACGGATGGCAGAACAGGCATCCTGCAGCAGGCCCCAACACGGAGGCAGCAGCCTGTACATGTACTTCCCATACCAGGCTCATGTGCACAAAAGTATGAACATGATGTGTTATGGTTTGTGTCTAGTTGTCCCCTCAAAGCCTCATGCAGTCATGGGGCAGGGACTTTTACAGTTTGAGATTAACTCATGATCCACTGGGATTATGGGTTTTAGTATTGCTGGGATTATGGGTGTGTTATACCCAACCTGAGGCAGATAGCCTGAATGTAATATAAGAGAGCCAGAGAGAGAAACTCTCTCCCTCTGTTGTCATTGTTGCTGCGGTCCCTACCATTGCTCCTCTTGCTTTTTGCTGCCACCATGAACAGATGTTCTGTGCCCTGTGCTACTGTGGAGGCAGCCAAGTATGGACTGAAACCTCCAGCAACTCTGAGCTGAATAAACCCTTACTTCCTTCATTCTGAGTGTCAGGATTTGTCCTAGCAATGAAAGAAGAGTAACTGAGACATGATGCTTCAGAAATCCTGCAACACTGTCAGGTAATTCCAGCACTAGAGAGGCTGAGACAGAAGAGTAGTAAGTTCAAGGCCACCCTGGGTACATAGGAAGACTGTGTCAGGGGAAAAAAAGAAAGAAATCCTAAAATATTTATCAAGTACATTGGGTTTTGTAAAACATGTTTGTATTGTATTAGCCAGTCATGGTGGCAGAAGGCAGAGCCAGGAGCATCACTTGAACACAGGAGTTGAAGACTAGCAACACAACAAGATCTCATCTCAATTAACTAACTAATTAACTAAAGGAATTTTAAATATAACTTCATATTTTACATCTTAAAATTATATCTATAAACATTTATTCTTAGTGTAAATATAATTTAATAGTTAATTTTAAGTACTTAATTTACTTAAATAATTTTTAAAATATTAATACATTTTACACAACAAATTGGCTCCTATTTACAAAATAAATAGGCTCCTTGTTCTCATGTGATAAAAGAATTCAGGCAGAATTAATAAGAACCAGGGTCAAAAGATCCTTAAAATATCAAACTCACCGTTTCTTCTATTTCTCTTGTGTTTGGGAATGTCTTCCTCTGTCTTCCTCGTCTGACCCTTTAGTACCCAGCTCAAATGCCCACACTTCTGGGAAGACTTCTCTGACCCTTACCAGGTCTTACCACTGGGCTTCTGTACACTATCTCTTAATAAGGGCAAATAACATTGTATTATAATAGTCTGTCTATATATCTGCACTGTCCACACTAAGTATTTCAAACACAGGACCATGTACTTGCTATCTCCACCTTCTACACTACAGTGGCAAGAAAGCTAAAGGCATTTCACACACTCCTTTGCAGCTCAGGCTCTTGGTGCAATTTGTTTTGACATTTTTAAAATATTTATTTCATTGAGAAAGAAGTAACAATGAGACAATTTCAAAACAAGTTAGTAGGACAGTCACAATAATTAATACATTGCATATTGTTATTGGTAGGATTCTTACCCTGACTAACTATATATGCTGATACCTGTGAACTAAGCAACTGCACTGAAAATAGCAATGTGTAATACTAGGGTCATGCTTGGAATCCCTGTCATTCTGGTCTCCTAAAAGTGTACTGCTTCTAATGTCATATCAATTACTGCCATACTCTCTCTCAAGTAAGTGTTTGCCTTGGTGTAAGTTAGATTCCGCCAATCACAAGCATTTACAGAAACAGATGTTACTATACTTGGGAAGGAGGGCAAGGAGCAAGGCATGGTTTTGCTGGTAATCTAAGACAACAAAGTGGTGTGGCTTTTGGAAACTGCACTAGTAGCAGCATCTTCTTGGTTCTATCAGGGACAGTAGCTTTCATGGATGGCCCCAATTTACAATGCAGTTTTGGGAGGCCTTCCTGGAAACTCGGCCATTGCTTCAGTTTTCCCCCAAGATTCTGGGCTAGCTGCTCCCTTTCTCTTTCCTCTTTAACTAACCAACATGGATTCTGTTATCTGCAATCACGAATTAGAGATCAGTCTGGGGCCACTAACCAAGCCCATGACATTGGCTCTAAGTCACGTAGTTTCCAGTCACCCTGTGTAGGTGAGGTCTGGTGCCTTCTCACAAATATCCTTATTTGCAATGAGAGCCAGGGTCACTAAGCCTTGGGAATCCACCGTGTCAAGGGAAGTCATGATCATGGGTTGCTGGAAGCAAGCAAGCAAACAAACAAACAAACAAACAAAATGCCCCAGTGCAGATGCCAGAGACAATCAGGAGATTCATCCTCAAGTCCTCAGGGAGCTGGGAGGCCTACAGACATATCTCCAGTGTGGTGCAAGCCAGCTGTGTGACTTCAGACAAATCATTTTCCTTCCCTGCATCTTTTTCTCCCCCGAAACATAGTCTGCTTGAATGAGGACGGCATCTTCCCTTTGACCAGCTGGCTCTCCTATTTCCTCCTCAGGTTGCCCCACTTTGCCTCCTTCAGCTTCTGCTTGGCTCCAATTTCTCCTGAATCATCAACATCCTTTATATTCTAACCCAAGAGGGAGACTGATTTCAAATGCTCTTTTGCACATATCTGGTAGCTCACAAGAGCAGAGACTTTCAGAATAGGCTCATATCCCTCATCAGCCATTGCTGTGATCTGAATGTTTGTGTCTACCTATAGTTCATGTGTTGAGATTCTAACCCCCAAGGTGATGGTGTTAGGAAGCAAGCCCTTTGGAAGCTGATGGGGGCAGAATTCCCATGAATGGAATTACTACTCTTATAAAAGAGGTCTGAGAGAGACCCCTTGTCCCTTCCACCATGTGAAGATACTTCTAGAAGATCCTGTCATGAACCATGGGATAGGCCCTCACCTGAATCTTGTCTTCCTGCTTCCAGAACTGTGGCAAATAAATTTGTTGTTTATAAGTTGCCCAGTCCATGGTATTTGGTTACAGCAGCTGAGATAGCCATTTTAGGCCTGTCGCTTCTCTAAGCCTTAGCTTTCCCATCTGTAAGATCAGCAAAACTGGGCAGCATGTGAGTGACCAGTGGTGAGATAAGACTTCAGTTAGCATTTCTGCAAGGCACTAGCACACAGGAAATGCCAGGAAATGTTCATTCACTCTCACTGTCCCCTTTGCTCCTGCCACTAAAGGGCATGTGCTGCCAGCAGATGCCATGGGGAGGCCCAGGGACTCAGAGACTTGCTTCCAGGCCCTTAGCTGGTTGATGGCAGAGATGAGTCAGGGATGAGTAACTCAGGAAGCTTCTTCACCATCTGTTCTGGTGACACCTCCTTCTGTGAGATCAGTAAACCTCCCCCTGCCACCCTATGTGCAGCTAAATCGAAGCTGCTAGAGTGAAGGGACATCCTTGCTCACTCATCTTGCTGCAGGCACCCTGCACTAACCTTGTGTTTCTGACCCTTTCACTCCTGGGACTTTGCCCATATAGGAGCTACTGTCCCTCCAAGGGACAGCCCGTGCCTAGAGAGAGAGTAAGAGACGAGCCTATCTGAATACATCTCTCATATGCAAACCAACCAATCAGAGCTGTACCCCAGGCCACCTCCACCATCTAGTTTCCACATTCTGGGACACCTCATCCCCTAGGACCAGGTATTAGGCATTTAGAGACAGGTCCTCCACCCAGAGCCTGATGAAATTACCCAAAGGGCCAACCCTAAGCCTGCACGCCCTGCCTCCCCAATTCTTGCCCATGAAAGACTCTTGTCCACATTGGCCCTGTACTTCCTTGGCCTTCGGACTGATCCTGGTGTGGCCCA